TAGCACTGTTTGCTCATTGAATAACCACGTAAAGGTTTTGGATCTAAGGTTTTGGGGAGGGGCTACTTTTTAAGCACGGGATAAGGATTATATCCTAGTAGTTCAGCAGTATTTTGTCCTGCTCATACACAACAGCAATTGTTTGTAAATCAAGAACTTGGTGATCAATGAAGTTATCAGTTACTATGTGAATTGATTATTCCTTTCCAATATGCAGGTCCATTGGGCAACTACATTACTTTCTCTATAATAAAAAAGCTATTCTTTCTTTTCAAAACATTTTTCACTTTATGCAGTCTAAAATGTAGAAAACATTTTCAATACACCAGAATGTGAAGGCTGATATAAATGGTTCCTCTTTTAGGGACATCAAATTGCACTGATTCAGGGTGTATACTATAACCAAGACGTAGCAAAGGCCGCAGCAAATACTCCACAGTCGCTGTCCCTTGGCTGTTGTTGAACAGGGACAACTTGAATGCCAGTAAAAAATGAACGTCCAACAAGATTGAGTACCTGCTCTTGTACTTCATTTAGAATAATGATATGATACAGACTGTCACACAAGTTGACAGTGCCACCTTCACATCCTACAAGACCTACACATACCCAGTGGGCATTACCAGTATCCAAAATCTGAATAAATTCCCCATTACCCTGATTGAAGTTTCTGACAGGCCCCAAGGTGGTCTCTGTAAGCCCTCCACATCTGGATTAATGTTTCTGAGACAAACATGTACTTCATGGATAATATCACAGACAAGCCAACAATTGGGTGACAAAATCAATCGTTAATGCCCATCATTTAGCTCTGCAAATGACGCTGACTTTTCTGAACAGCATTTTTAAACTCCAGTTATCACAACACCATCATCAGATGTATTGAAAGAGTCATCAACAACTTCTTCACTTTGTTCTGTTTTTCCTCCTGATTTACACACCGTACATTCCCAAGTTGTCATTGCATTGTTTGACATCCGCTTGAAGTTTAAGCAGGGCAAATGAAAAAACTTTCCACTTTGACAAAATGGGTTTGCACGTTTGTTTGTTTCCACGTGCAGATAAAACCTTATTTGAGAGCTTCATCCAAAATATCTCATCTCTTTCCATTTTGATTTTTCATTTTTGGCTGCTGGTGTTTTTTAGCACAGGGAACAAAACCACTTCCTAGATAATTTTGTAATTTTCAAACAAGATAAATGAAAAGTAGAAATGGGGTATGCTTGGTTTGTGCATGTTACCACAGGCCCTCCAGTTGCCAAGGGATGAAGACTCAGATAAAAAGAGCGTGGAGCAGAATTGGGATCAGGTGATGAGTGAGACAAACTTCGCTTTTGAGTACACCACCTTCCCACAATTTCTGGTAGCACACAGTATCTCCGGAAGTGGTTAAGTTTGGAAACAACAGTGCCAGAGGCTGACATCAGGCAAAATTCTTTCACAGAAGAGATCAATTTGCTCATGAAAACCACAAACAACAAAGTCACAGTAAACCTTTCCAGCAGTGAATATTTGCTGTTGGGTTTGGTAATAGTAGGCATGTTCCCTTTTTAGACTTGCATCTCCATTTTCTGACTTTAAACAAGAGTTGTATTTGTAAATATACTGCTCCAAGTCTGTATCTTTCATTTACGTCGCATTTTACGTCGCCACATCCATCCCCACAGCAATCACACCTACACAAATAGTCAGGTGTGGCAGGAAGCCATGGACACTGTTTACTGATAAACATACCAGATTTCGTTACTTGAAAGTTGATGTGCTTTTCCTTCCTGATCTTTTCATGAGCTTCAATAGCGGCACTTTCCTGTTAACAACCAGGTTCTGTAGCCTCTGTACTAAATGTGAAAATGTTTGGATAACAGATTCTTTTAATAAGTGATTGTGAGGGCTGTGCTGGGTTGGTGTAACATGTTGATTTGCTAATTGATGCCCCAGTTCCACCAGCCCTCTGATGATAGAGGCTAAAGCCCTTTGATTGGCTTCTGGTATCTTCCTCTATGCGCCACACCTCTTCATTAGCTCTTTTTGGGGAAAAGTTTTCACAGGCCTTGAGTAGGTCATGATACTCGAAGTCTAAGTACTTCTTGTCAAATAAATCTGAGATAGTTGGTACGTTTCTGCCCTTAGAAACAAAAGCATCCGAGAAGGGGTGAATCAAGCATAAACCCGCAGCAACAGTCTTGCAAGAATTTAGTTCTGCATATAAGTTCATTAGTTCAGTTTCACCTGGGACGGAAGCTGCCACCTTCGTCACCTCACTAGAATGACTGTCTGTACTTCCTTGGGTAGTCGTCAAATTGTTGATGGTTTCATCCAAATGTCGATTATTCCTTTGCTGAGCGAAAATCAATGTCAGTAATTGAGGCATAAGGAACTTCTTTCACAGCGGTGAGTGACAGCCAGGTGCATTTTACCTGTGTACAGGTTAATTTTTTCGTCTCTCCAATTCCATGTCTCAATGTAGAACAAAACACATGCGAGCAGCAATCCCCTTGACCCGCCATGCATCCCACACAGTGAGCGAAGAGAACCGTACCATTGTCTTCAGACATTATCCAAAGTGTGACAAATGGATCGTTCATTCTTTGTGAATGTGACTTTCCGAGACACCATGTATTTGTTGCCTATATATTGTCCTTTAACACTACTTACAAACCCTGAAACCAATTAGTTATAAGACTGCAAACTTCTATAAGCCTTAAATTGGTCCTTACCGTAATAACTCGTGTCAAGCACAAAAACGACAATAAATCCATGGATTCGACAGGAGGAAGGCACTCTGGATCGTATGAGAGTGTCTTCGCAGGTTAACCAGCCTCATGAAGAAGTTACTCAGCCAAGGTATAATAGAGCACTATGATCAAGTGATCCAAGACCAAATCAAAGAGGGAATTGTTGAACGAGTCATGGGATCTGCAACCGGGCAATGTCACTTCTACATCCCTCACAAGGGAGTGCTACAACACTCAGCAGCGACCACCAAGTATCAAGTAGTATATGACCCCGGGGGGCGCCCTTCTTAATATGGGCTATATAGGTATGTGCGGCCCCAAAGGGTAGGGTTTTTAAGCCGTTTTGGTCATATATTGGGTATCGATTTTGGCTATTTTGCCGCCATTTTGGTCATAAATAGGGTAACGGTTTTTGCACTGTAATCTTGAATGCACTTTTTTACAAGAAGCTACTTCCTATTATGTCCCCCTCCTTCCATCCGCGCTTTGCCTTCCTCTCCACCGGCTGCTTTGTAGGCTAGAAAATACAAGCAACAAAAGCCCTTCACAAATTATGTTTACAGTTTTGTGTTTTGTGTACGGTTTTGTGTACGTGCCGCAACGGCTTGTCAGGTGTTCGGGTCACGGGCCGGGCTCCCGGGGTTTTTGAACTGCAGTTGACCAGACATAGACTTCGAGTATTCAAGACCACAGTGTAAACTGAAGCAGCCAGTAAATAATCTGAGTAAATACAGCGAAATATTTTATTAACCAAACATTGCATTACAGTCAAATCGAGAATAAAATAGTTGTTTAGAGGACAATGCTAAACATATTCAACAATCGAAACACCAGAAAGTCACCACAAACAAAAAGTTATGACAATTTGGCCATATCGTGGGATCCTATTACTTGCTAGGGATAACTTGACACCAGATGCCAAGAGCTTTGATTTCTGTGGTAAGTTTCTTCGCTTCGCCTGGAGCAAGCAGCAATTCCAGAGATAGCGACCTTTTTGATCATCGAAAGGTTTTCCTGTAACAATGCTGTGAGGTAAGAAACAATTAAATGTAGTTATATTCAGAAAGATGAAACCCTGCGGGAAACACCAGTAATATATAAAAATCGAGTATAGGAAGGAAGGTTTGCATACCCCTTAGAGTTACTCAGTTGTTTCGCTAAAAGCCAAAGGGGAGCCACAAGTTCTCGTTGCAAATGTCCAAGCTGCCCTCTCTTGTCACAAAGCTTGAAAGCTCGACCGTTTGATCCGATCTTGCTTTTAATTTCAAATTCCTCCTCAATGTCCACATCAAACAAGCACTCTTGATATCTTTTCACGACGCAACTTATAATAACTTTCACTTCGTCAGTGTTTTGTTTTGTGTGAGGTGTTGCAGCCATTTTAAGTGATACAAATCCGCGGTTGAATAGGCTTTGGATTGCGTGGACGAATGTAATGGTGGCCGACCTCAGACCCGGATAAAACAATTTGATCCTTTATTATATTTTATCGCTCATTGCAACATTACTATTACCATCAACCGTTAATTATTGACCACTGCAAATTACACGTGTTTGCCTCGCGGCTTTCTTAGTAATGAGAGCGGTCGAATTTCGACAATATCAAATATTATATTTTATCGCTCATTGCAACATTACTATTACCATCAACCGTTAATTATTGACCACTGCAAATTACACGTGTTTTCCTCGCGGCTTTCTTAGTAATGAGAGCGGTCGAATTTCGACAATATCAAAATCCAAAGAAATGAAAATACCCATTAACTACAAAGTAAACGGTAAAAATGTTGTTGAAAATAGAACCATGGCAGCTCCCAGGTAGCGGACGGATTCTAGCTGCTAATGAATATCCCCAAGCAGTTACTGAAATTTAACGATTTGGTCTCCCTCTAAGAATGTCCATAAGGAAACCGATTTTGTTGATCACTATTACAGCAACATGGGATACAATAAAAGAGGTATTTTGCGAGGCTAGTGCTCTTTGTGCGAATGCGATGAGTTCGAAAGCAGTGGAGTACTCTGTGACTATTGTGGTCACACCCCAGTGGGGAGCTGGTAACAAAGAGGTCGAGAGCTGATAGTTCGCTTCCAAAGCAGGACGAGGTCGGCAAAATTCAACTGCACCCAGCGGATCAACCAAGTTCTTCAAAGTCCACGGACAATGAAAATGCATCCAAAGAAATTAAATTTATTGACCTTGAATGTGAGACGCCTACTGGAGTGCAAACAATAAGCAATGATGGTGCGTCAGAGAACGCGGTAGAAATGAGAGTTTTGCACACCGATCCCAAAAACACTGACAATGAGGTGAGAAGTTTGCAGAAGCGAGTAGATTCTTTGGCGCCAGATAAAGAGGTCTTTGAGATTCGCAGAAGAAACGGAAAAGTAGTGGCTTTCTGCAACATATGCAAGACAACCACTGCTACAGGTGAAGCTTACCAAGGCCTCTTCTGTATCAGACAGTCAATGGCCACCCAAACGCATAAGACCAACTTGGAAATCACTCACTCCAGAGAGAGCGAAATTCCTCTAGTGATCCAAACCCTCCAAAGGGAAATTGATGAGCAGTTCCCGCAGCACTTTGTATCCAGAAAGAAGTCGGTTGTTTGTCGTACATGTAACACAGAGCTACTGCTATCACACAAAGCCGCGCTAAACAACGCAAGGCAGCACGTCAATAGCACAAACCACCAACAAAAAGTAAGGAAATTTGGAAAAGCGGCTACAAATGATATTTCCTCATTCTTCACGAAGAAAGGGGAATCTGTGGAGAATTCTGGGTGATCCAGGCCAGGGAAACAGCTTTGTCTTGGATACCATAAAGAAACTACTGTATATAAACTAGACAATCAGTCTGTTATTATGAAACCTAGATCGCTGCTTGATGATTTAAAACCTGGAGTTGATGAAGGAAAAGTGTCATGGTATCCTGAGCCACACGTTATTGTTCATAAACCTGATGAAGCGGGGTACGTAGAAATTAAAGGGACTTTTAGAAGTGCAGATTGTTCGCGGAGCGGCGATTTGGGAGCCTTTGAAGATGAAATGTGTGCAGCCTTTACAAATATACCAAAGTTGAAGTCTTTCAAGAAGCGTTTGATGCGACGATCGGAGAAGACTGACGAAGAAAGAGATACATTACGAATTAGAAATGACTATCTCTCTGCTGAAGAAATGAAGCAAAAATTGAATGACCAGAAGCAAAAGCTTGACATAAAGGACTCTAAAATCTTTTTTATGTCTGCCAAAAATATTCGACTGAGGATCTGAGCTAAAACAATCAGAGAAAAGTTAGAAGAGTATGCACGACATGGCTCGATGAAAGCTGTTTGTTATAATTTACAAAAGGCTGCTGACAATGGACTTCTTGAGGACAGAAGCCCCTAAAAGGATTGTTAGAGACGGTATCTAAGAACTTTCATGTTGAGAAAAATGGCAAACTATATCAAGCGCCATTTAAATTGTTTCTTGAAGTGTTGTTGTTGTGGGGAGGCCCCAGGATTGCCAATTTTGTCGCAATAAATCTTGGGGGGCCTGAGATCCACTCCATTTATCGTTGGTGCAAACAGCATCGTACAGAGGTAGATGGGGGAATCAAGGAAACTAACTTTAAGCAGTTGAGCGTGCTTTACGAGGAAGCCATGACTAGAAGGAAAGTGGGTCCTGTTCCTGTACTGGCAGCTGAAGACAAGACGGCATCATTGGCCAGATTTCATACAACCAGAGAACGGATGAGCTACTTGGGTTCTGCGGAGTAAAAGGAACTGAGCACAAATGCTTGGTCTATTTCACAGTTTCTGTTGGAGAAGGGGAGGAAGGCTACAAAAGTATCGTCAACGCATTCGAGCAGTGCAAGATCGGTACATACGGAAGAGCTATCTTGCTCAATCCTCTTCACCCAAAGCTACCCCGAATTGCAGTCCTCACGATGCCAACCTGCAACAAATTTCATCACACATTTGTATATCGCCAGTGGCAAGAGGTGGAGCGGCTTTACGAGCAAGAGCTAAAGCCGATTATGGGCCCCTTGATTGGCCATAGCTCAGACGGGGATTCCAGGCGAAGAAAAATCATGTTGCAGCTTGCCACAGTCACTGCTGGTAGCAGATTTCAACTGATTCCTCGTAACGAAGGGTTTGTTTTTTCATGCAGGAAGGAAGGGGGAATGACTATGTGATCCATGATGTTTGACCAGGACTTTACCCACAATCACAAGAAGCTATTGAATCCCCTGGATCATGCTAATCGCGTTCTAATGATGGGAAACTTCCTGGTTAACATGAGTCCTTGATCATGGTTTAGGTCTTGGAGATATTGATCGTCGGGATACACAAAACTGGAGATATGCCCAGAAGTTGACATTCCCGAAAGTTCGGCAATGCATCCAAACGCTGATCGATGGCGCACTACCGGGTACTCACCCTAATGCCACGTTGCTGGGAACGCAGACTTACCTTCAGGTTGTGTGGTAAACCACCAGTAACCCTTAGGTTTCCTCCTCTCTTCGGGAGTTTCAACATGGCACTTTCGCAAGCAATAACATTCAGACAAAAGGTACCCCTTTTGCATACCTTGTTAAGAACTTTGTATCCCTTTTAACTGCTGTAAATGAACTGTCATTTAAATAGGAATCAAACACAAAAATAGAACGTTTTCTCGACTTTATAAAACCATAAAATTCATCTTTTAGACGCATGACACATTTCCCTAGCCTTTCGTATACTTGAACTAGTGAAATCCCTACCTTTTATACCCATATACCTGAAGCCAGAAAAGGGACCCCATTCGGGCGCAAAACCTCATGCAGAACTTTACCCGCATGCGCCATCTAGTTCTTACGTCATCTAAACCATTTGACTTTTTAGCGGGGTGGCGGAGAAAGAATGTTTGGTTTTGGTACGAATTTTTTTCCCACACCTCTCTTTGATGCTGGAAAATAAGTGAAATAGTGATTACACCAAAGAAACCAGATATATAAAGGGTGGATAACTGTATGCTATAACCTTACTTCTCAACAATTTACACTCTTTTTTTATAAGAATATATTTCATAAGAATATCGAGTCTGAAATTTGCGAAATTTTAAGAATATTTTAAGAATGATGACATCAATGATATCAATGAAATCAATGAGTAATCAATAGGTAATCGATAGGTAATCAGTTGACTAGTCATTGATTATTGCCGATGATCAATGAGTAGTCAATGACTAATCGATAGGCCACAAAAGTTTTGGTCATCGATTACATCAATTAGTCTGTGATTGCATTATTTAGTCATTCATTTCATCCATTACTCATCGATAACATCTTGTGGCTGCAAACCTGTTTGGCAAAGAAAAACAAAATTAAAAAAACTTAAATGTAAACAGATGTTTCCATGTTTATTCTTTTCAGCTTAAGTAGTACATGGAAAATACGGTTCAGAAGGTTCTCCAGTATCTCTTTGCCGTTTGTTGTTGAATCATACCTTGACGGTAGCCCTGTCAAGGTTGTTCAGTTTCGCAAATTCTTCAATAACTCCGTGCGATGGATACTTGCTGTCTTTGTACATGGCCTCAAGGTCCTGGACTCTCTTCAGTTCGTCCAAAAAATTCCAGCAACTCACCATCTTCTGAAGGCATTCTTTTACTCGATGACAAAATTCTTTTAGAAATCAAAAGAGCCACCGGCACAGACTGGAGGTGCAGGGACACCCAACGTCAATTTTTGAAAAATATCTGTTCGCAAGACGATTTTAGATCTAGATCTCTTAGATCTTTTTCGGAACATTTGTTGTAAAATTTCTTGCTTGCCTAGCTCTCCTAGGATTTTTGAAAATCTAAAAAATGGTATAATTGCCCATTTTTCACGAATTTTTTCTCTAAAAAGGTCATGTAGAAATTTCGGAAGCCTTTTTTCTGGCTGAAATTTGCGAAAATGTAAGTCTTGATCCCTATAATTTTCGGATCACTAGACTTTCAGATAGGAAATCCGAACAGATGAAAAATTTTTAGGGGAAAAAAAATGCCGATATCTACCGTTTAAATACTAAGATACATTTAACAATGCTATGTTTAAGTTGTTTTGAACTATATTCTCGTTGGGTACTCCTGGAGGTGCAACAAAACAAATTGAAGAAAGCCCAAGAGAAAGAAAAGAATGAAAAAACAGAACGTATGAAACAGTGACCTGCCGAACATAATTATGACAATAGCGGTTCTAAAACAACTCTTAAAAGATGAAGGAATCGCGTTTAGCTCAAAGGCCAAAAAATCAGAACTTGTACAAATATTCAATACTCAAGCTGGTTATGTAACTTCTTATGACGGATGTTTCCCTAAGCTGAAGCAGTTTCACTTTGCTGACAAACACTCACAAAAACTGAAAAATCGATAACCACATAGTGGATTTTTGTCAGCGTACTTGTTAGTTTCATTTTCAGACTGGTTGGTGACTGTTGTTTTGTTATTAATTAAAGAATTGGGTAAAGTGAAATACTGCACAATTGAGAATCATCTGTCTTTGTGATTGGCACTTTGCGTCTCTATATCGTCAACAGGATCTTCAAATACAAGGAAAAATGCAGGTAACACAGATAAAACAATGACAAACGAAAAACAATGGTACAAGAAAGCAAGAAAAGTGTCTTTCGTGCGCAGTATAATAATCGATGAGTAATCCATGGGTCATTCATGAGTAATCAATTACATCAATAAGTAATTGATCTCATTGATGAGTAATCGATGGGCCACAAAATTCTTTGGTTTCGAGTACTCATCGATCATCGCCAATAATCAATGACTAATCAACTGATTACTTATCGATTACTCATTGATTATTGAGGATTATTTCTCTGATCGCCAACAACGGGTGAAAGTAGCTGGAGAATATTCGAGCTGGAATTATATTTCCAGAGGGATTGCCCAAGGATCAATCCTCGGGCCTTTGATAATTCATATTTTCATCAACGATCTCCTGTTCATCGTGAAAAGATGTAAACTCTCTGGCTACGCAGACGACAAGCAAATTTTCTTTGCTCATAATGACTGTAGAGAAGTTGAGCGTGCTATAAACTCTGGTCTCGAGCTTGTTGATAAATGGTATGATGAGAACGGTCTGAAAAGGAACAATTCTAAATATCAAGCTATTCTGATGGGAAAATCGGACGCCACACTTGATTTCAAGTGTCAAAATTCCAGTATCCCAGTGACTAAAGAATTTTAGATGCTTGGCATAACGATAGTTCACAAACTGAAGTTTGACAATCATGTTGCAAAAATATGTAGGAAAGTTTCACGGCAAATAGCTTTTCTTAAAAGAATGAAGAAAATGCTTCCCTTCGAAAAAGGCGCGACCTATATTTAGCATTTATCCTTCCTCGCTTCAATTATTGCAGTGAAACCTGGAATTTTTGTAGTAAAAGTGCTGCAGACAAATTGGAAAGGTTAAATGAGCACGCGATCAGGTTTGTTTTCAGCGATAAGTACACAAGCTACTCGGAACTTCTCATCTTTACAACAACAAAGATTAATTAAAATCACACTGTCTATTTTTAATGCCGTCCACAATCCTTAAGCGCCCAAAAGTATGTGACTATATCCTCTGGCTACCCAAGCCAAAGTCTACTACACATGGCTTGAACTCAGTCCGTTATATTGGTCTGAAACTCTGGAATTCAATTCCGAACATGTTTAGAAATATAACGAATTTTAAGTCTTTTAAGAGATCCATTAGCCAAGTTGATCTAGTGCAATTTTTATAATTTCGAAGCTTTTTTATTGAATTTATTATTTATTTAGATATA